GGGGTCCCCTGTACAAGGCATGTTAGCTGCTTCTTTTTTATGCACCCCTTTTGCAGAGCATTCTCATTAGTAAGAAGGCTCCGACTACATGTATGCCCTCACCCTTCTACCTTCCAGTCCCCACAATCATAATTTACATAAACTTTTGTACTTTGTAATTACCCAGACTGATGCATTCACTTATAGCAATACAAAAAGGACGAAGATACTGGGCCCCCAAATAACCACTGTAATACTGTCCTTATAAAAGTCGTCCCCTTTCCCTTATGCCTTCGTTGTTTTTTAAGCTATTAACAACACATTTGATCTCTTTTTTTCTATTTTTGCTGCAGAGGGTCCCTACAAAACAGTGTACAATGCTCCCGAAGCCAATGATTTAAAAGTTAACATGGGTCTTTCGTGTTGCATCTTTACAGCTAACACTCATAAGATGATGTCCATTCTCATTTCCTACAATATACTGTCGTTTTGCCATATAAATGCCAATAATCTCACACCACTCCCGATTCCTTTATATTTTCTCAGCCTTAGTACAATTCACTTTCAAACTTTGGTGTTTCTCAATTCTTCCTTTTTGTGCATTGTTTCATAAAGTAAGCACATCCATTTATGCATTTCAACCTATTTATTTCCTTGCCCATCAAGATTCTTCCTGCTTATGCCGCAAATGCTATGCTCTCTATCCCCACACTACACACACACACACACACACACACACACACACACACACACACATGTTCAAGTCTCACAAATCCTGCACAATAGTTACTCTCTTACTCTTTGTTCAACTCAGCTACCATCTTCTGTCATTCCTGCCTTTTGTTCTACAGTATTTGCAGAGGTCCTAAAAATTCTGTAAGAGCCAAGTTTAATGGCTACCTTAATTTTATCCAGATATAGTCTCCACTTCATAAAAGTTAGCAAACTATATATTTCTCAGAATATTCTAATTCTGACAATTATCTGTCAACATTTTTGTCTGCTACCTCTTTTACTCCTTTACTCAGTTCTATTCTGGGGTAGTATACAGAGGCTCTGAATTGTAAGCCATAAGCCTATCATAACCACACCTACCTATGCTGAGAACTGCTCATCCTTCCACTCCTTTCCATGTTCACTGCCAGTACTCACAGTCAGGTCCTCATCTCTTTTCCCTCTGAACAAGAAAGATGCTCTTATCTGATCTCCGTACTTCCAATCCTATTCCCTCCACGGACTTTCCAAATTACCATCAGAGTAAAGAGTATCTTCAGTGTTTTGTATTCCCAGTAGTATGTAGGTACAGTTCTTAGAACACAGAAATGGTCAATTGTTATTAAAAGAATGAATGTGCTTTTCTAAAACACAAATATCATGTCACTGCCAAAAACACCTTCAAGGCCACTCTCACACATGTACCTGCACACACACACAAATACAGTGATACCTCAGTTGTCAAAGTCAATTTCTTCCAAATTCATGTTTAAACAATGACAACTTCATGAATTGAACACATTTTCCCATAAGAAATAATGGAAAACCCACTAATTGGTTCTGAGGCCCAAAAATTATACTTCTAAATTCATTTACCCAGGACTTCAACAAATTTTGCAATGATTTCTTTAATTCTATTGTGGCTCTTAGCTTGCTGCTGGTATCATTAGCTTTCTTTGGAGACATGGTCATGATATTTTATGCAAATAAAATGCCAAAAAAAGGGCACATATGTTTTACTGCACTAACACAAGCACAATATGTTGTCTGGGTGAGAGCAGTGCTTAGACTGAAGCAGTACCTCTGTGTCCGCAGCCAGATGTGATGTGTGATTCACTCTTGGCCCATACAGGTTTTGTCAAAATGGAATTTTGGTTCGACTTTGGAATAAAGTTACAAACACTGATCAGATTTTTTTCGAACTTTTCTGTCCCAGTAGTGGAAAGTTTGAGCTTGGAGCTCTTAGACAACAAAGGTATCACTGTATACACTTTAGATAGATAGATCTAAAGTCCTCAGCACGTCAAGCAAAGCCCTGCAGAGTCTGATCTCAACAAAATGTTCTAGGCTCATCATTTACCAGTCCTCCGCCCCTGCTGTAAGAATTTATAAGCTGCCCTCTGGAGCTGAACTGCCTTTTGTTTGTATTATCATATCTCTGTTATTGCTAGAGGTGCCTATTCTCATTTTCCTGCTGAGACAATCTTAGAAAATTTTAGTTCAAATATTACGCTGTTGTGTGAAGTCTTCTCTGATTTTGTGTCTATCTAGCAAAGACTTTCCTTGCCTCGTGATTCCATGGCTGAAGTTAAAAGAGCAAGAGAACTAGGCAGGGAAGAGATCGAAGTCATCCTCTTATCAGGAACCCACTTCCGTAATACTGCATTGAGGATGAAGTTTCCAACACCACAAACTTAGGGGTCCTTCTCAAGTCAGAGCAGTTGCGTTATACTGGGACACGAGCACAAAACATTTATAATGTTTTAAGGCACTGAAAATTTGAGGTTATTGGTTATGGCAGTTTTTT